TATATATATATATATATATAATATAACTTAATTAACATATATATGTATTAAATAATAATAATAATAATTAAATATGATATATTATTAAATCGATTTGATATTTTAAAAATGCACAAGTTCCAAACAATCAACACCTCTTATTAAGGGGTGCCATTAACACTCTCCCTTATTAATTGCACCTTTATACTTTATATAATCATTTTATTTTTTATGTTTTTGTCTTTTTACTATTTTTCTTTTTTATATTAATTTTCTTTTAATTCTATTATTTAATTATAAATATGTTACTATTATAAATATTATTTTTTATTCTGTAATTAATAATATAATAAAATATATTTTTTTATTATAATTCCTATAAAAAATATTATATGTTTCCTTTTTCCTAATAATTATTTTTAAGAAAAAAAAATACAATTTTGATAATTATCCTTAAAAATGTAATTTTTAATTATTATTTATTAAAAAAACAATTTTTGTATCTTACCAAACTCCGTATTTAAACTCAATATAAAGATAATATTATTAGATTCTTACATATTATAAAAAGATTTATTCAGCAACTATCTAGATAGATTAAAAATCGAAGAAATTATGATTTGAAAATCGTTTTTCCACATATTTGATCTGTGAGGCAAGTTAATTATGACATGCAACATTTTTTTTGGTTGAAATGATGCAAATAACTAATTTTTAAAAATTCGATGATTTATTTATTCAAAATATGTGTAAGGATGAATTTTTTTTTGTAAATAAGTCTGACTATGTGAGTTGCACGATATTAATTATTTTATTTTATTTTATTCACAATATATTAATTACATCATTTAAAAAATATTAGAATAATCCAAGAAAATTAAGATACTACTTTTTTTTTGTAAAAATGATTACATTTTCCAAGTCATTTTATAAATATTTCATTAATTTTTCTAATCATTATACTTTTAGCATCGTTTTAGGTCTAATATTGCAATTAGTCAAAATAGTTCGAAATTTCATCAAACCTTGTAGCGTTTGCATAAGTTAATGATTAAGATCCTTAAAACTAGCACATTTTAATTAACGATCTCCCCTGCCCCCATTTTGTAACGCCCGAAAATTTTCTTTTTCTTTCTTTCCTTCTCTCAAACTTTGAACTATTTTGTGTCTTTAGCTTTCTCTTGTTTAAATTGAATTATCTCCTCCTTTCTTATATATATATATATATATATATATATATATATATATATATATGTATAACTTTATAAGAGTGCTTTGGAGACCTATCTTTTTAAAATCAATAGGTTATCATGATGATTTTAAGGGGGTACCTAATAACTTTCTGTGTTGTACTACCTTCCTTACTCTTGAGCTTCCTTCTCTTTTCCCTTATGGATTCTTCCTTTCCCTGAAAGTCCTTACCCCCTCTAATTTGTTTGCYTTGGGAAAGATGATGTTGATAAAAGTGGAGCTTGGTGAACCAAACCTGACCTTGGATTTTAAAAACTCAACCTTACCTGTGGAAACCCCTTACATTCGGCGACCCTTGCTGAAGCCGTCAACCACCACCGGTCAAACCCACCTCAACACCGATCGCTCCTTTCTCGTGCCTCCAGCCCGTTCATTAGCTCTCCCTCGGTGTCCCATCCTCCGTCTTGGTCGTTTCGGGCAGCAGCAGGTGCGGCTGAGCCTCACGGAAACAGCAGCCTTTAGTCGGATTCAAGTAAGTTCCGGCTGCTGTCTTCACTTCTCCTCAGGCCGCAGAACAACCCCGACCGCAGCTGCTGTGTGAAGAAGGAGCTGAACCGAAGGGTTATAAGCAGCAAGGGGGTGAAGAAGGAGCCGAACCGAAAGGTTGTACACAGCAGGGGGCTGCTGTGTGAAGAAGGGGTCGAACCGCAGAACAGCCCACGACCGAGGCTGCTGTGCGAGTAGTAGGCCGATCAGACGCTGCCGTGTCATCTTGCTCTCAACAGACAGCAAGCAGCAGGCACCGATGTGCCATTCATTCCGTTGCTTATCGTCGCGTACGTGATAATCAGCCACTTTCCCCGTGTTTTTTCTTCCGCTCCTTTCCGAGTAAACAGCGGCAGCAGGGGCTGCTGTATTGTGTTGCTGCGTGGCTCACCTTGCAGGTGAGTTCATCTTATCCCATTATGTATTTTTTTACCGTCGTAACACTATAGGCTCAGATTTAATTCCTTATTATGCTACAAGAGGTTACTAGTATAAGGTGGCTCGAGAACTATTTAAATGTTGAGAATTTTAATACTTGTCTAAGAAATTTCATCATGAAAAGTGAGTTAACGTGTAAGTAAATTAGAGAGACATAATAATACGAGCTTAACTCGAAGAAGAGATTGTTATTAATGATGTTATTACGGACTCTTTTATGTTAGGAACTCTAAGGTGTTTTATGTTAGGGGACTCTATTTCCTTATAATATAAACCTTGTAATCGCTAAGGATAAGTGGTGGAATATATTTTTCCAATTTGTGAACTCATGTTCAGTCTCGGTATTGGAACAACATTATATGCATATGTATGCCTAACATTAATTTTTCCTAATAATCGATCGAAATGTGGTGATTCCTTGTATCGAAAGTTGTTTTTATCATCTTGTGTGAGGGATGATGTAAGTTGGTGGTAGGCATTGTGATTATTATGTAACCTCCAAATCATCCTCTCACTAGCACTCTTAAATAGGCATTGTGATTATTGTGTAATTTCCGAGATAAAGAGCTTAAGATCACGATCGACTAAATGACTGGTTTAGGTTGATGTCGATGGTATTAAACTTATACGTGATGCTCTATAACGTTGATTTACGACTTACTTTGTGTCTGTCATAATCAACGGTAAATCGGGCCTCCCCCGTCATCTTCGGATGTTTTGACTCCCCTTAAAATCTTTCGATTTAGTTATCTTCTTACAATGTTTACAATTTTTGAAATCTTTATTTAAAGGCTTCACCGTTTCTTTTGCGATATTGATTGAACTCACTAGGCGTAAGCTTAACACTTCTTTTGATATGGTTTGTACACCAGGTTCTTTTAGCGGCGGGGCCAAATTGGGTTGAGAAGAGCGTCGTTACGTGAAGAGGCTCTTTTGGTAGTAAAGCCTTGTTACTTTTGAGCGTTACGTATGTTGATGTTGCATTTTTGGGAGATTGATAGAAACACCCGTCTATAATCTAGTTGTAGAAAAATCTAGATTAGTAGGTTGTTATTTATCTTCTCGATTTTTGCTATGTAAACGCTTTGCTATCACCCTTTGTTGGGTGTATTTTTTTTTAATTTCAGAAAATTTGGGTCTCGTTAGATATTTTGCTTTAATTCTTCCGTGAATGTCGAAGTGTTACACATTTGACTCATGGCGACCACCCCAACCCTCCCCGTCCCCCTCTCATTTGTCTTTTCGACGAGCACAACACCATCTCCTCCTTACTTTTGTTTTTCGACCAACCTTCGGCAACCACCGGCAACTCCGACCAAACACCATCCCAATTCCTTACTCTTCGACAAGGATGATATCCCCCACCCAATTTGACTCCTTACGACCACCCCAACCCTCCTTGTTCCTATCTCATTTCGCTTTCTTTTCCCAGCGAGCACGTCACCACCATAGTCGCTTCACCTCCTTGCTTTTGTTTTTCAGCCAACCTTCAACATGCACATGCAATCCCGGCCAACCAACGTCCCAGCCTCCCTCCCCTAACAAGGATGATCTCCCCCATCTCGCGATCTCATAAAATGAAGGTGTTCTCGTTTGAACCTATACATATATATATATATATATATATATATATATATATATATATATATATATCATGTATGTATGTATATATAAGCGTGTCTGATTATATATATACATGTATATCTATGTGTTTTGTTTATATATACATTATGTAATTGTATATGATGAAAATATAGAAAAATAATTACAATTTTGGCCTTTAATTTTTTATTTAAGTAAAAACAAGAAAGAAAAGGACAAAAAAAGATATAAGGACCAAAATGCCCCCTTAATGGAGTTAGTGAATATGGACCATTTTCAAAACAAAATATAAATAGTAAGGATGATAATTGTAGGTATTGAAGCTTAAGGACCACTTTCGGATATTTTGGTAAACCATAGGGACCAAAATTGTAGTTTACTCAAGTTTTTATAAAAATCTCCCTTTTTTTGGGTTCTATTAATTCTTTCCATATCAATAATTATTATTTATACTATATTATAAAGCATTTGACAAAAACTCTTAAAAATCATTTTTTATGCATAAAATATTGTTTATTAATGCGTAAAGTACTGTTTATTAATGCATATTACTTAAAACTCAAGATTACAGGTAGATTGTACGTAAGTACAACTTATTAAAGCTTCATATCTGAATTCGTGTAACTAACTACAGATAAACATAATCAAATACAGGATAAACATCTCATTTTAAATATAAAAAATCTAAAATATAGTTAGGATAATCATTGAGTTTTAATAGAATAATTAATTATTATCTTTATAAAATGTCATATTATTAAACCAAAAATAAATTATCTCATTACTAAACTTAAATTAAATTATAATAAAAAATTACATAAAAATGAGAACTTTTAAATAGTTAATTTGAATTTTAACATTGATATATGTTTTTTCAAATTGTTATAATATTTTCAAATTTAAATTTTATTCAAAAATAAAACCATTATTGCTTTTTTAAAAACATATAAAATCGTATTATAACATCGACAAAGACAAATAATAAAATAGAACATTAAAATCGAGATGTGTTTCGCTGTATTGCGCGAGTACACTTCTAGTATTAATAAATATGAAGTCAAAAAAACAAATAAAAAATAAGAAAAATGTTACTTCTCACAAACTTCGTAAGAACCAAATTTCTTGTTCAAACACCTAAAACGCATGAGGTTCTTTTAAAAATCCATTCACAATGGTAATTCTTACAAGTCACTACACTGTTTTCTAATAAGAACCTTACATTAAAGATACTTTTTAGTAAATTACGTGTGGTTTTGAAATTACAGTTTTTATCTTTATTAATCTATAATTTATTGTAATTTTTTCCGTAAAGCTAACTATTTTTTTAGAGTTTGTTGGTATACAGAGATATAAAAAATAATAGAACAACACATGACAGAACAATTGTTTAGCATTTGATAAGGTAAAATTTGATAGAACAGAACAATAATTTTCAAAAAACTTAATTTTATTTATCTTTTTATATAAAATGGTGACTGTATCATGAAACAGAAATGGGGCGCCTTTTTTTTTAATTAACAATTTATTAAATTGTTTCCTTAAAAATATCATAAGAAAGTTTAATCGTTAACCTCACAATCTCACCAAACACATCGTGAATGGGACAAAATATATATATATATATATATATATATATATATATATATATATATATATATAT